AAAGTTGCCAAAACAAGAACGTAAATGTTCACTACCATTGGAATGAACCAAGAACAAGCAAGGACTGCCATTCGTTGTTTTAAGCTGTATGGTCTTGATATTTGCACGGTACCTCTGGTCGCTTTATATCGTTCAGCACTAATAATCAACAGAGTTACAAGCGACACTAATCTAAATACGTTAAAGACAAAACCGAGTATTTTACACATAAATTTGCGGAGAAGGTCTGAATGTACAGAGAAAATGTTAAAGTCAAAAAGAGGTGGAACTATCTGAAGAGAAGTCATGATAGCTACCAATGCGTCGGCGAARGCCATATTGATGATCAAATGATGCAGGTTTTTGGTGACAGTGTACTTYGTGGCCAAAACTATGATAAACACGTTACCAAACAACCCAATTCCGCCAATAAGCAAAGTTGCTGAAGCTTTGACCGTTTTGGCCGATTGTGGGCATGTTATACTACTTCCATTTGTTGCATTCATGGTTGGACATTTGAAATAAGTACGTTGAATAGTTTTCCGTATTTGAAAATTCAATTCTTGTCATATCAGCAGTGTTTGCGTAGTTTCAAATGCAAATTTCCCAGAACAAATAATACAAATTTCTTAATTGAATATATTTTGTGCCGCCAAGAGACAAATACAACCAATTCTTGATGTTTGCGGAAATTGTACAGTCACGTTATCCCTTCGTCGTTTGTTTATATTTTGGTATGTTAGTCGAATAAATGTTCAGTGTTCATTGAATCTAACATGAACTAATTAGTTTGAACACCTTCCATCATTTTAAAAGATATCAATTTACTTACTAAATTTAGAAAAATTGAGATTCACTGATCTTTTCAAGAATATTAGTAAAAAAATYTACGGAGTTTTTTAGAGTCATAGCGAAAGTTCCTTACCATGGAAATGCATAAAATCATTCTAAATTTTAATGTTTTTCCATTCTTTTTTTCATCATAAGCAAAAGCAATAACTTCCCTTGACCTATATTGATCAAACTTTCCCATGAGAKTCAAAAGATAAAAGAACGGCGGCCATGTTGGTYYTGYAGAACCAAAGCGAGRCTTTGGCTAGGTCGTAACATTTYCGCGTKTTMACAATGGATGAAGAAAATTGCTGATTAAGCAAAAACTCAAAGGGAAAAGTTGTATKCGACTTTGTCATGCCTATTCAGGAACTATCGTCGAAGGAATCAAGGGAACTTTAGCAAAAGTTAAATCGTTATGAAAACTGTGGATGCAGTGCCTAAATAGCATTCGACAGAAATAGACTGTAACTGAAAACAAGTTAATTTGTTGTAAACACTTTGCAGCCTAAATATGATTATCAAAGTGTAACGTTGTTGCTTGCCCAGCGATTTTTGACATCTAATGTAAACACAAGAAAAAGTTGTGACCTAGCCAAAGCWTCGCTTTTGTTCTCTAGAGCCAACTTCTTGGGAAAGTCCAGTGCAGTGTAACAATGCAATACATGTACAATACACTTTTTTATTTCCAAACGTCAGTAAATAAATTASAAGGCTACAAATTAGAAAGGAAAGTATGGAGGATGCGTGAGAATAACCTGAAGGTTAAACAAACTCACACACACGCGAACGAGAATGGTAGGCGCAATAATGCCAGTAATATATATATACTAARAAAATTGTGACTCMAACGAAGGATTAACGTCCAAAATGTCAGTAAGTTGTTTCACCTATTTTTCACGGTGTCAACTTTATCTTTTTAAACTTATATGAGCCGTTTCCATATTTATAGCTATAGAATACGTGATTAAATTCTAATTCGATGAAAAATAATAAAGGGGGCAAGTTTTTTTTGTCACGATCACGGATAATTTTTCGTTTTCAATATGCGTCACAGCGGCCATCTTGGAGAAACTTCAGCAAAAGATTTGATCTAAAGATTAGTATCTATTGTTTATTCCTCAAACATGGCCGCCGGTCTTTTGTCTTTTGAATCCCATGGGAATGATTGAAATCGATCAATTATCTCAACCGCTAGTAATGAAAATGTCGGGATGTAAACGCTAAGCAAACAAACCAACTTCATATTTAAAGATCYATGGTCCACCGACATCCTGTACGAGCTTTTGCTTACGTTTGAAAACCAAAATGCATCGTAATTTTAGCATAAACTTTACTCTTTATTATCCCTTTATACTCTATGAATGGTGATACTGTAAGATTCGACGTTAAAACCGATGGATTGAAACGGATTGAGAATGGATATTTGAAGTCGTCTTATTTTCCATATATGAAATATTCAAAACATGACCGCATTGAATGCTGGTGGACCATGGCTCTTCAAGCACACTACAGGGTTGCATAAAGCTATCCACTCCATAAATGTTCAATGGGTGCCGTCACCCGCTCCTGAATAGTGTAATAAAAAAAACTTGCTCATGAGTATTTTATGTAATGTTTAAAGGCCGACAATGAGGACTTGACGGGGTTTCAAAGTCCGCGCAATTAGTTCCAGTCCGAGGCGCTAGCCGAGGACTGGAACAAATTGCAAGGACATTGAAATCCCGTCAAGTCCGAATTGGAGGCCTTTGAACGACTTCAAAAACTCATTAATTATTCGGGAGGGAAAAAAAGCGAAGGAAATACATATAACAGAAATATATTGATTTATTGCATCTCCACTAAGGTTTTCAGTTTTCATAATTTTGAATACATGAAGCACCGTTTGTTGTTCTTCAATTCCCGGACGGCTTTCTGAAAAAAAAGCTATTCAAATTGTCTTTGTCTGCTATTCATGGCATTCCTAATGAGCCTAATCCATAAGATTTATAAGTATGTTATCTTCCGAGGAATCGCATCAGAAACTCGGTGGTGTAATGGTATAAGACGGCGCATATAGACTAGACGGTGGGGGATCGAGTCGTGAGGGAGTCATGTATCAAAGACCTTTTTTCACTAAATTAATGTTAAACTGATTATTTCTAATAATTTGATTATCATTAGCTAGTAGTAGTTGGAAACATGGTAGAAGTAACTGGAAATAAGGTAGAAATAGCTGGAAATAATGTAGAAGTAACTTGAAAAAGGTAGAAGTAACTGGAAATAAGGTAGAATACAAGGTAGGAGTACTTCCTCTGGTTTCAAGTTACTTCACGTGGTACAAATTACAATCAGGGATTGGCTGAATACCTCATGAATAATTAATGAGTTTTTGAAGTGATATTCAATCATTTTGACCTACGGGGGCCGTAAACCTTAGCGTTAAAAGAATAGAATGTTTTAGTGTGACGTACTTATGCCACAGGAGAATTACAATTTTGTGTTGATTCTATTGCAGCGCTCAGCCYGAGAGCCTCGTCCGTCTTTTCTTACACCAAGTCTAGAATTGATTACTCCCGTCTCTTTTCTTTCTCCATCTGGAT